AGAGCACAAACACTGTTCATCCTCTCCAATGGAGCCACTTGCACATGGCGCTATGTGCAGACAAACTTCACTGGACTCTTTCTCAAGACCTGGTGCTGTGGCTACTGCTGTGAAGGGAGGCCCAGACACCTCCTCCTTCTCCTTAAGGTCTCTCTGCTAGAAGACACAGGATGGTGCACCCCCCAGAGAGCTCAATTATGTCTTGCTGCTGGGTCAGCTCCTGTGCAACACACTGCTGGGGATGATGCAGGGAATCAACACAATCTGCATCACTGTTCCATCTCTCTGCTTTCACAGAGTCTTACCACACTGCCAGCAAAGCTCCTCTGTATGGAGCCTGTCCTAAACAATGCTGTGAAGCCAACAGCACCCCAAATTCTGAGTTGTTCTGCTACTGGCAGATTTAACCCCACCACAGCCAGAGGGTAGGGATGGAGAGAAGAACAACCCTAACCAGTGCCCAGGAGGCTGCAAATAAAGGCCTGGGTGGAAGAGAGAAGCCCTGCCCCAGCATTCTGAAGTCCCAGTGCTCACCACCTCCAGCATGAGAGGACTCACAGTGTAATAGGAGGGAAGGAGCCCACAGCAGAGAGCTGTGGCATGATCTGGACTCACAAGGTCAGTGTCAATACTAACTTCCACATGGACAGAGTATTAAGTTTAAAGTCTCATCGGGTATCACAGAAAGGGTGTTATTTATAACCACCTAGGCTTTCCTATGCCAATAACTCAGCAGGACAACCACATCCTGTAAGTAGGCAGTGAAACGTCCATTATGTATTTTGGCAGAGTTGTTTCCTTATCTGTTTGAGTGTATAACAACTTTTTTTAGCATTGTTGTTTGGGGGACAAGGGAAATGTTCATATGCTACTACCCCTTTACTTGTCTTTTTTTTTTTCTGGATGAAACAATTGGTTTAATCCCACATACAGATTTTTCAAGTTCCTAAATCTATCACTCACAACCACAGCATTTTCTGAGATGAGGGCCCAGTATAAACAGAGCTTCAGATGAGGCCACAAAGATATATGCACATTTTCTTTGTCCTCTTCCTCCAAACACTGAAAATGAGACTGGCATCCCTTGGTGTTCCTGTAACTGCTGTATTACACAGAACACCCTGCCTTCATCTCTATTTGCACTGTCATAAACGCCTTTTAAACTGAAAATACTTTGTGGCTTTTGAGTGGTGCTTTTTGTTCTGCAGACAGAAAAGCCTAATATAACAGTAAGACTGCACTGGCTCAGAAATAAACTAAGCCAACAGACTTCAGGGTGCAAGCTTCATTAATCGACCTGCAAAGGAGGTTTCAGTTTCCCCTTCTTTGAAGTGCCATCCCCAGTGGAGGCCCCGAATTGGATGAGATTATGCAGCTGATTGTTCTTTTAATGAGGCAGTAGAAAAAGAAAAAAACATCAAGAGTTTTAGGGAATACATCTACTTTCAAATGGATACCAGGGGTCAATCAGAACTTAATGACTTTTTTGCAGTCCAGGAGGAACCTCTGCATTTCTTTTAGTCCAGGAAGACTCTCTGGGATCAAATACCTGTAAGTCAGTTACCTTCCTTCAGGAAACAGAGGCAGGGTAAGCTTCTAGTCCCAGCCTAATTCACTGTGCTGTTAGATGAGTCAGCACACTTGGACACAGAGACCTGGCTGACACCATTTGTGCAAGGAAATGGCAGTGGGGAAGAAGTCCATTAAAGATGCCAGGTAATGTCCTGGTCTTACCTCACAGAGAACAATCCCAAAGGAAAAGATGTCCACCGTCTCATCGTAGCTCTGTCCTGTAGGAAACAAAACATGCAGCTTTGTGAGAGACAGTTGCCCATCCAGCTGTTACACGAGCTGTCAGTCCAAAGTTTAACTAAGCCTATTCCCTGGAAGGCCCTAAAACAGAAGACAAAGCCAAGGCCTAAATCTGAGCAGGGCCAGTCTCCTCAAGATATGTATACACCAATTGCATCTTCCATACACTGCCATCACATATTTTAACCCTGCCTCTTTCTTATACCGGGGAATTACAGGACAACCCAGGGAAACCCTGTGTATCAGGTCTGAGAAAATGCTAAGGATACCTATGGAAAGCTTTTGCCCATTCCCCTTGGTTGCTGTTCTAGTGCATCCCTATAGTGCATGGAGTCAGTGCTCAGCTTCCCCAGCAGCTAGCGAGTGCCTGGTCCCTGCTGCAGTGACTGCAGAGATAATAAATCACACACCAGCAGCACTTTGATCCTGGCAGGCTCCAGCATGCCATGCTCTGCTCACAGACACACCCCTCCCAAGCCAGTATCTGGTAAACAGCCTTGCTTTCAGAGATGATGTCAGACTAAGCTCTTGCTATTCTCTTGACAAATGCCAGGACTGAGACATTGAGAAGCACTTCAGACTCCTGTAGTGCTGCAAGCCTTGAGAGAAGGCAAACAGAACAGCACAGAAGAAAGCAACATGGAGAAGAACAGAGCTGGGGGAGAGAAGCCCAGTCCTTCCTTCCCCAGTGGACTGTGCTGACAGTGCTGATATCCCAGTCAGCCAAACTGCCCAACCTGGTCAGACAAACCTGCCTGTTAGGAGAAAATCATATCCACTGTATTTCATCCTCACCTCAACTCCTGCAGGGGCAGCTTTTCCTCTGAGGGATACAGCTCATCCTTAATGCAATTGAGGGCTGCATGCCAAAACCCAGATTTCCCTGTACTTGGACAACTCCCACCCCAATCCTGAGGCTTCAGCAAACCTGGCAGCAGATGGCTTCTCCCTGGATCTACACAACAGCACACGTAAGCCTCACTCCGGAGTTTAATGATTCCCTGTCTCAAGGGGCAGTTCCAAAGCATGAGGCTATAACAGAAATTGATCTCAGGTTCAGTCTTATCCCAGGCCTCTTTTGTCTTCTCTGTTATCTGGATTTATGTCTGTTGCCCTCCTGAAGAATCCTCTTGTCAAGCCAGAAACATTACGTGGGCTGGTACAAAGGCTTACCAGGTCAGGCACTGCAGGACTGCAGCTAGGGCACCTGTGTGTATAAATAAGCTTGCACACTAGCAAGTCTAAAGCCACAGGCTCTAATAGGTTTGATTGTTACTGGGGCCCAGAAGCTTTCAGTAATCCTGTCATCCCTGTACCTTGTCACAGGCTGTCTCCTCACCTGCTCCCTGCTCCCAGTCTCTTACCATTCAGCATCTCTGGGGCCATCCAGTATGGGTTCCCAACCACTGTGTAGCGCTTCTTCCTGTCGCTCTTGCGGAGGGTTCGTTTCTTGGCCGAAGGTTTCTCCAGAGTGGGCTTTTTTCTCTCCTCCACAATCAGCCGAGACAGACCGAAGTCAGCCACCACCACCGTCTTATCCTGCACAAGGGATTTAGTACAAGTCACTCTTCATCTCCTGCAATTCCTGTTCGCTACCAACTACACTGTAAGGGCAACTATCCAGGTTTCCTGCAGCCAGAAGAGTGTAACAACTTATCTAGACAGGTGAAAGATACCCAGCTCATGATCCCAACTCATAATTTCCTCCCTTCATCATCTTATTTCCCATGTAGTCACAAACACCCCATCAATTTCGCTACACTTACCAGGGCAAACCTGGACCTTTCCTTCAGACCTTCCTATTCTACCTGGCCAGGAATTAACTTGGATTTTCATTCTGAAGCCCACGTGCTTGTCTCATATTCCAGCCAAGTGAACAAGGGCAAGGCTTGAGGGAATGAAGCTGCACAAAAATCTTGTGAAGCAGCATTTCAAAAAGAGAGAGCACACACATGTGCACACACCCACACACTTGTCTGAATGTGACAATAAAAAAAGTCACCAAGTGGTTAAAAGAACAGAAGCAGTTGTAGAGAACATCTCAGAGTTGAGATAAGGAACACAGCTGCACCAACTCTTGTAAGGTGACTATTAAAGGAGCTGCTACCAGAGCAAAGAGATAAGAGAACAGAATGCAGGAACAGTGAAAGCTAGATCACTCTGGAAAGTCCTATGTGAAGATGAAGCTTCCTTGGTTAAGGCACTAAAACCAATCTGTTCCACCCTGATAAATGAGGGAACATCATTTGGAGAAAACCAAGGGAAGAAACTGCCAAAGAGAGGAGCAGCATGTTGTGGGAACAGAGCTCACCAACTTGATCAGGCAATTGTGTGAATTCAGGTCTCTGTGAATGATGCACATGGAGTGCAAGTAAGCCTGGAACAGAGGGAGAAAAGCTGGTGTTAGGGATTGCCAGGTATGTCCCTTGACATTTAGAGACCCAACAACCTGATGCCAGTAGTCAGGAGCATTCACAGCTCCTCATACAGTGCTCTGCTGAAGCCACTAACCCTGACCCTGGAGGTGATGAAGGGACAGTCCAACTCACCATTCCAGAGGCAATTCCTTTGGCAAAGCTGACCTTCTGCTCCCAGGGAAACGGGTCCTGAAAGACAAGCCCTCAGTGGTCAGGGACTATCTTACCAGCCACCTGGTGACAGCAACTGCTCCACAACAGAGACTCTTACAGCAGTCACAGACAGATGATACACCCCCAGAATGAAGAGGCTTCCTGCCTCAGGCCCATCCACAGCTAAAAAGGAGCTTTGCCACACAGCTCCAAAGGAGAAGACTAACAACAAGCACTGTAAGGCTGGTACAACCAACAGCACAGTGAGATTGTTTGAGCTGAAGTCCACAAGGTGTCCATACTCACTGCATTGCGAACGAAGTCCTTCAGTGTGCCCCCTTCAATGTACTCGGTGAGGAGATTCAGCTTCTTGTCCTTGTACAGCACACCAATGAACTTCAGCACATTGGGGTGGTCCAGGCTACGCATCACTTTCACCTGGAAGCAGAGATATCCCCCCCAAAAAATGAATGGAACAAGTCCTGACAGATCCACTCTGATAAGAAGCACTCCAGTGCTTAAAGTCCCCTCCAGGGATCAGAGTACACTCAAACTCCAACCTTAAGGCAGTCAATTTACTGTTGCCTCTGCATTTTCATGCTATGCAATTAACCTGATCTTAGTCTCTAAGGAGAGCACCCTTGAGTTTGGTTAACTTTTTTCAGAGCCAGGAGTTCTCCAGGGCAGCTATCTGGTCTGTACTGCATGTGTCAGGGCCAGAACAGCAGTGTCAGGTGTTCAGGGCAATGCCTTTAAGCTAAATCTGAGTTTGAAAAACAGTTGGCAGCCACCAAGGTAACTGTTTACCTTAAATACAGTGGGAGTCTTAAATATCTTATTGGCCCTCATCCTTTTTATCTGTGCACAAGGCTCAAGGGATAAATCCTTTATGTGCTGCCTCAGACTCAGGCTGCTTTTTATCACTGAAAAATTAATGAACTGAGAGCTGAAGCCACGGCTATTGCTCAGTCTAAGTGAGTCACACTTCACTGCAGCAAACATGCAGCTCATGTCAGCTTTTCCTCGTGTGATATCTCCCTCCTCAGCACCTTGATTCCTGCCAGGTTGCTGGCAGGATCGCTCTGGAGAAGATGGAAGAGAGTTCCACCACACTATAGGCTCAGAAGCCTTTTGAAATCTTGCTCCCACCTCTGTCAAGAAAGTCTTCTGTGTTTCCTCATCACAGCGAATCAGCTCCTTCATCACCATCACCTTTCCTGTTGCTTCGTGAGTCACCTGGTGGAAACAAAACCCACAACTCCAGGCAAGGTTCAAAGAATACACAGCTCCAGTGCTCCTGCAACAATTCTGAAAGAGAGGGTAACATTTCCCTCCACCCAGAGAAGAATAGAGATGGGAAAAAATTCAGAACCCAGGGATCTGCAGAAAACTGCATGAAATTTGTTCATTCACAATTCATCAAAGATTCTGTACATTAAATAGAAACTACCTAAAGCTGATCATGCCAAGAACCAGAGCTGCACCTTCCGTTTTGGGTAGCACAGGGCTGAGCATGCATACAGGCTGCCAAAGCCTCTGAAGGCACCAGTTCCACACTGCTTGAGCTCCCTTACAGAAAGCATTTGCCCAGTGTGATGCTCACACTTTGTACACAGAGCATAACAACTACATTCTGTATCAGCAAAGGAATCAACATCCATTTGCATCAGAAACCAAAGCAAACAACCCAAACCTACATTTGGTTTCATGGGGACTCTGGAGCCTGATGGTTTCTTGATCAGCTCATCAAACTTACCCACATGCAAGCAGAACTGGGGTGCACAGGCTGTTCAGTTAAGGCAAGAAGCAGTTATTTCACCTTGCTTCTTTGGAGCTGTGTGTTGCTCCCTGCAAGGAATGTCCCAGAACAGTGGCAAACACACAAAAATCCACCATGAACATCAGGTAATAAATTTCCTGGCCCTTGACATGGAAAGCATTTTCATTTCCTCAAGAACTGTTTGCCTGTCTCCAACTACTTCCTGGCATTTTGCCATGTTCTAGAGGTTTTTTTCAACCAGCTCTGCCTTGCTTGCATGGGGTGCCTGAGCGAGTAGAAAGGGTCCAAACTCCAATGAGCACATTTTATTGAAAATCCTCTCCCATTCAGTTGCTCAACTTGGACAGCTCTGGCTCCCTAAGATCTCCAGGTAACTAAACAACCACCTTGTCTCTGGGATCAGAAGGCAATTATGTGATCATACACAGTACTTGCTGCATCAAAACCAGTTTGAAGCTTAGGAAAAGTGTCACTTTTTTGCCTCATGCCCATTAAAAGAAAAAGCCTTTCAGAAAACCTCCAGAACAAGACCCAGATATAGTATTTAGGAAGCTTATGAGCTCTTGCAAACACTGTGACATACTAGTTTTGTTTGGAACCATGGGACATAACCAATAGGTGGAATGTGAGTGCATGGAATAACACAACAGAAGCAAGAGCGCAATATTATTCTGCTCCCATCTGAAATCAAGCATCCATACACAAGTAGTGAGCCAGGGGACAGTACACATTTCAGCCAGGGACATCTCAGCCAGGGACATCTAATACCCAAAGATAAAGCAGAGTGAAGAGACAAAGACAAGACAAGGCTAAGTGGAATTCTTAAGCTGTCATACCAGGAAAACTGAAACAAGTGTCATCATGAAACTCCAGGGGGGCAGCTTTAACTCCCAGAGCATGCACCAGGACAGGATGGCCATCAGGTAATTTGAGCAGAAAAGAAATGTATTTGTGCCACCAACTGTGGGGACGCAGATGACAAAAGCATGCGACAGCAAAGGTTCTGCTTACCTGCACCTGTTATTTCTCTACAAGCAGAGGAGAAGAGAAATATGCTCATTAGTATGAAGCAAAAGCATTGGGTTTGTAGCACTGGCTTACCACCTCCCATGGATGTATGAGATGAATGTGGTGGCTGGACACTTCAAGTTTATACAGGTGTAAGGAGAGAAGTCCCATAACATGGTGAACGCAGTCTGAGTACTGAGGAGCTCACACCACTGTAGTAAGGCAGAGGAAGCTGCCCCCCTGATGCTGTCAGGGATGTTGGGATAGGAACTGCTGAAGCACCCCCAGTCAAGACTGGAGAGCTTAAATACAAGAGAACTTCCTTTTAACTGTGAGAGTCATGCAAGGACTAACCACCTACCACCACAATGACAAGACATTTAGGCTCTGCCAGTGGCTCAGAGATGGTTACTACATCAGACTGGCAAACCCCCAAGCATGCCACACTAAGGGCTGGTGAGAAATGCTGTGCTGGGAAGCTGAATGCACCTCTTCATAAGAAAGATGCTCGTAAGTGTAGCCTGATTCCCATTCTCCCCACATTACCCAGGAGGCTGCTTTAACACAGGCACTCTGGAGTGCTGAATCTAACTCAGGAGATGAGTATGTATGACCAAGGTTGACAATCAAAAGGGGAAAAAGTCAAAACTGACTGCAGGCAGAGACACTCATGGTCAGGGAATGAAACAGAAATGGATCTCAGAGAGCAAACCAGGAGAAATCCAAGACTGACCACTATCACCAAGGCAAACACCACTGAGACAGTGGTGAAGGATGCCAAGAGAGGCAGACACTGATGTAATCAAATGATGACTGTTTGAGGACCTCCCTCACCTTGATGGCTTGTCCAAAAAATCCTTTTCCTAGAACTTCGCCATGAATCAGGTCACAGGGCCGGAAGATTTGCTGGGAGCAGCTAGAAGAGGAGCGCAGGGATTCAGAACGACTGATGTCACGGCTCAGGAGGAGTGGCTCCTTCGGGGAGCTGGGGCCAGGAGACTTGGAAATGCTGTTACTTCGCCTGGAAAACGAAAACAGGAAGATCAGGGAAGCTGCTAGCAAACCTTTGGTCCAACACATCCCATCATTAGCTCCTAAGGAACCTGTTCCTAGATGTCTTTCAGTGCTCTTAGTATCTCCAAAGCCAGATTCTCTCCCAGTGCAAACCCAGACAGCTTCCAAGTCAGAGCTGCCTAACCACAACACACTTCCTGTGCTGGCAGTCAGAGGTGCAGCTCCAGGAACACAAGGAGGAGATGCAGCACTTGCTATCTCTAAACATAGAATAAAACACTGGTAAATGACTACATGAGCAACTGACGGCCTCAGTGTAGGAAGACATTTTTAGGAAGTCTGTCTAGGAAGACATTTTTAGGAAATCTAAAAAGTTTTTCCCCCAAGCCCCAGGTCCCACCTGGATTCCCCTTAAGGACACATTCTTCCCCAGCCATTGAAGGCTGGTAAAAATCTGACCATTACATTTTTTAACTGTTAAACTTAGTAGCTCTTCTCCGTGAACAGTAGAGCTCCTTATTTTTATTAAGGAAAGTTTGTCATCCTGAAAGGGAATAGAGAGAGTACACATACATCAGTAGTGGAACCTAAAGCTCCTCACTGCTTCTCCAGTGGTTCACACCATGGCTCACATCAGAAATAAGCCACGTCCCTGCAGTCACTGCAACCACAGGGCCTAGGCACAGAGCTGCCCAGCCAGGTAGCACAGGGCAAAGGCAAGCTGGGGCACAGGCAGTGCTTCCAAGGTTTTACCTGAGGGAGCGCCGTCGGAGGGTTCCTTCCAGGTTCTCCTTGATGTCCAGTGGAGAGAGGGAGCGTGGGGAGATGGGTGGCTTTGCGTGGGTGGGCGGATGGGAGTCCAAACGAAGCCTGCCTAAGCGCTGCGAGACAGGGTCGTGCTCTATCAGCAGCTGAAGGGTCTGACTTGTCTTGCGAATCAATTCCTCCACCTGAAATCAACCCAAAGGACAGGATGGTAGCAGACAGGAGGAACACAAACAGCAGGAGATGGAGGAGACACAGAGAATGCCCCTCAGGAATCTGAGGAGAGAGTTCAGTGAGATCACTCCATAGTTGTGGTTTAGTTGTGTGCACCACAGCTGTCTACCAGACAAACCAAGCCAGCAACACAAAAGTTCCTTATGCTATCCAGTTCTTCTTTCTGGTCAGCTACAAGTAACCTACACAAGAAAGATGTGGACAGGCTAGAGAGGGTCTAGCGAAGGGCCAAAAAGATGTTAGAAGGGCTGTGAAAATGCCAGGTGAGGAACGGTCGAGAGAACCAGGTTTGTTCAGCCTTGAGAAAAGAAGGCTGAGGGGAGATCTTATCACCATGTTCAGTATTTAAAGGGTGGCTACAAAGAAAATGGAGACTCCCTTTTTACAAGGAATTACATGGAAAAGACAAGGAGTAACAGGTACAAATTAATCCTGGAAAGATTCCGATTAGACACAAAAGGGTAGTTTTTCACAATGAGAACATTCAGGCCTTGGAATAATCTCCCCAGGGAAGTGGTAGATTCCCCAACATTGGATACTTTCATGTTTCAGTTGGACAGGGTGTTGGGCTATCTTCTCCAGACTGTGCTTTTGCCAAGAAAGATTGAACCAGACGATCCTTGAGGTCCTTTCCAGTCTGGTATTCTATGACTCTATGAAATCTTTTCTTTTTCTGAGAAGTATTCAAAAACTACACAACTTTCCATCTTGAACGGTGCTGCAAAATGCTGCATGGCAAAAGCCACATGGAGATTTATCTGAGAGATGTCTTGTGCTCCCCATGTTCTCTTCAGCACCAACAGTAAATACACCCCTTGGGAAATGAAGGTAATGGTGGTCTCGCTACACTCTTACAGCATCACCTGGTACCTGTGTAAAGCATCTACTTGTAAATACAGACAATACTTTTTTTTGCAATGGGAAACATCCCTAGGATCAGCTGAACCTTTGTGTACTAGCAGTTGCCTCTAAAAGGATCAGAACAGTGCACTTCACTAACAATACATGGGAAAGCCTTCACAGCCTCCCTGTCCTCTGTCACAGCCCTAGACTTTTCTTATTACTTCCCTTCATATTTGAATGCCACAAAATCAAAACTGCATCCTAATTGCATTTCCATCTATTACATTTTCCTCTTCAGCTGAAAAGG